ATAAATACAAAAATTCTCATCATCTTATATATAATATTTATAATGAAAAAGGCTAAACTGTAATTTATTTACATTAAATTTGTTTATCGTATAAAAATACTTTGCACTTTAGTTCTAATCTTGTATTTATAAAACCTCTAAAAAAATTCAAAACTTTCTATTAAAATGTATCTAGTTCTTATTAATTCATAAAAAAAATTATATTTAAATAAATGCAAATACCAACTTATTGGCAACTAATGACATATTTATGGACTATACTGTTCTTTACATTTTCTAAAAGAACTGTTTTATTAAGAATTTGTTCAATTTCAGTATCTCCAACCTTCGATACGCACCAAAGTAGCTTTGAATATTGTCAAGAGGCTATCGCCTAATTTACATTAATTACAATAAAACAGTTTTAATTTGAGAGAAATGGGCATAGAATTTAGGTAAATGAAGAATACTGTTAGATCCGGAAGTACGTACAGGTAGAGATAAGTTTTCTAAAAGTATATCTGTAATACAGCAGACGCATACTTGTATCAGTCTTTGAAATTCCACTTATCTAAACAAAACGAACAATAAACTGAACCAGCTGCCTTCTTTCTTTTTCTTCGGTTTCTTTTCTATCGAATATTTTAAATTTTAAATTAACCTTTAGGTTCTTCGTACCATCCGCATCTCCACGGCTTAGCAACAAATAAACCATTAGTATTTTTTGAAAAGAAAAAAAGTAAATACTTTAGTCTTCTATTCAGGATTAACAGAATTTAAAACTAATCTATATTTAATTTAGAAATAAGAAGGTGTTGCGGAAATGAGTTCTTTATGGTTAATCAATCAGTGATAGCGCAGAGATCATCAACCTTCACAACGCTAGAGAATACTTTGTTGGTAAATTTCTCATGAACCTTGATGGAGAATTAAAAGAAACTTTTACAAGTACGTTCGTATATTTCTCAATTGATTGAAATAAAAATTTTAGATTGTCAAAAGAGTCTGGTTCTTGATAATATTCCTATTTACTTAGCCTCAAATAATGATGGCTGCAACTGTCTGTCTCGGTGTTTGTGACCGTAGAATGTCCCTCTCTCTTTCTCTTCAACAGCAGCTCATGTGCTCGATTCGGCCTCGGCCGTCCTTGCCATGTAATACGGTGGGCAAAACGCGTCCGTTACATCTACTAACAGCTTTAAAAACATTTGTACACAATCAAGAGAATTAAAAAGGCTAGCAACAGCTCGAAGCATATTTCATACCACGCGTAGGTGGAATAATTATTGAAGGTTCCCTTCTTATTTATAATCAAATCGTTTTGTATTTCTTTATATTCTTTTTTTTATCTTGCTCGACATTATTATATTTTATGAAATACTCCATCTTGAATAAAGACAGTAATGATGATGATGATGATAACGTTGATCTTATCAGAATAATTATAACTACTCCTTTGTTTGTATACGAATAGCACATAAACCTACACTCCAAAAAATGTTTAACGGTACCAGGTCATTGTACTTAACTAGAATAATTTATTCCTTTCTTTAGAGCCATAAAAATACACGTACTTTGATGACATTGAAGGAAAGTAGCACTTGTAGTTACACGGAGATTGCTCACGTTTATATGACTCCTATATATACTTTCTGACTACCGTTTGGAAACCAATGAACACTAGTCAAAGGACTTCCTTTTGACGTAATTACTGTCATCTTATCGTATATTTATTTTATTTTAACTTTATATTTTCTATCAAATATGACACTTATCGTATGTATTTTTGAAATGTGCATCAGGTTATTCAAATTGGATCTGCAATAACATTTTTAAAAATTCACTTTCAAAAGTGTTTGATGATGATGATGGATTTTATTATTCTGTACATTAATCTTCTGCTTCTTCGGTAATATTTGATATAGAAAATGAAAAAAAATTTTCTTAGAAGGAGAAAATATTTACTCTTGACTTCTGTAATAGCTGATATATGAGTTCAAAGTACTTGGAAGAATCTTAGTAGGAACAACAAGGGTGGTCCAAGATTTCCGTTTGAACTTTGTCTGGTTGAGCAGAATGACCACAATGGCATCTCGTTAACCAATTTTTAGATGCACTTGATACTTGTCATGTTATTTAATCAATTAATTATTAATGATTGACAAGACTTAATAAGAATCATGTTGGAAGCATTGATTAGCTGCAACAAAGATCATTACAATTATGAAATATTTCAAAGCTCAATGTAATAAAGTAATGTGTAAATTTGTAATATTTTAAAAAATATTTCTGAAAGTAAATAAATTGGTTTTTTCATGTATCCTGCTGTTCCAGTTCATTTTTCATTTTTTCGTTGAATATTACATATTAATAAATTTCATAACTCAGTAAGAAGAAAAGTTGAGGTGTTTATTAGTACTTCAAATACATAGTGTTAATATGTATATGGTATTTTCTTTGCAGGTAGAACAAGTACGGACCGCATATATTCTATATTTTTAAAAATAAAAATTATATCATTCATGTATAAATTTAAAATCATTTACTGCATAATTAATTATAAGCATTATTGATAATTAATAAATTCTCACCATTATTTCAAAATGATTAAAGCGTATATTAATAATACCACCCTTATTTAATTATAAATCATAACTAATTTCATAATTAATTATATTATAATTCTTTCATCATCAATTAATTTAAAATTATCACGTCCATTTTTATCTGATAGATCATCTCAAATCAGTTTTATTTAATGGCACCATTAATTTTACTGGAACCATAGGGTCCGTGAGAAGACAAACCAGAAATGCAGCACGAATGTGTCTTGTGTATGATAAGTTTTACTGGATAAGGGCTGCAGCAAATCAAGTTATGAAGATATGATTTTTCCATGAGTACAAGTACGAGTTAAAAATATATCTTTTTCATCATGGAAAAACTTCTTATCAATTTAAATAATTATATTTCATGTGTTATTATATCCAAAATTTTATTTTAAGTGATGTAGTATTTGAAAAAAATAAAAATATTTAAATAATTATTTATTTGCACATTAATACTATTAATAATCTAAATACTACAAGTATTTTTTTGAACTTGAAATTTTTTGAGTATACAATTTACTCGAAATAACTTTAGTAATGAATAAATAAAATGTTTTATTAGTAATAATTGACCATAAAATGTGTATTTATGGACGTTTGAATAAGAAAGACTTTTAAGGTCAAAAGACAGTAAAAACATAATTATTAGTTGGAGTATTTAACATTTAAAGTGATATTATTAATCAATGCAAATAATTTTAGAACCGTAAATATCAAAATGGAGATTACAACTTGAATATACTATTTAATTCGCAAAATCATGATTATAATCTCAGATAATGAAGTTTGATTTATTTATACTCAGATTTTGAGTTTATTTAGGCGTATGATAATTTCTCTAGAAATACGAGTGTGCAAAGTCAAAAGGTTGATGGTCACTTCAACTAGGATTAACATTAAATCAATGTGAAAAAATTCGTTTTGTAAATTTATCTCAATAATAAAATTCAACAACTTCTTTCGCCTACATATTACCTTTACTTTCAAAGAGCATGAAATTTTTAAAAACGATGAATAAGGCTTCCAACTCGTCATCAATGTTTGTTCTACATCGAAAAAATATTGGTTCTCTTTGTTTGTATAAAAATCCAATCATCAGCAGCTGATTTAATCCTTTGAAAAATATTATCCTCATATTTTTTCATTACTCTAGACTACTTTGTTACAACTTTAAAATTAATGTACTTGAAGTGTGCTTGATATACTTGGTATTCTCATGACGATTAGTCAAAAGATAAATGCTTTTCTACCTGGAAGCTCAATAAAAATTTGATAATAACTTCTTCAAGATAGATATTACACCAACTGATTGTTCTGCATTCCACATTTTATTACAGAGAGTCATACAAGCAGCTAAAAATATGTCGTTATCTCTACCTTACCAACTCTAATCGACCTTGGCTTTATCAGGTCGATTAGTCAGATGATTAGACATGTGCGAAAAATTCCGATCCTAACTATAATAAAGTTAAGCACCGGTTGTTTGTTAGGAATCAGTGAAAGTACATCGTTATCATGTGGATTGAATCCAATATATATACGAAGAAAATTTGTTATTACGTCTTTGAGGGATCATTATACAGCATGTATTATGGTTAAAACCACAGCAAAGTTAAAAATTGTATTTTGGCTTAAAAATTGGAAGCAGATCTCAAGAGATTTTCGCTTATATGAAAGTAACGAGCTTGAATATAGTTGAATGAAACCAACGAGATTGCAGCAATGGTTGAAACTACGAGGTTGAATTAAAGATACCCAGCCTTTCAAACTGACTGGAAATGCAGCACTACTCTACCTGAGTTTCTGCATCTGGAAAATGTTGATCTGCGCATGCTTGTTCTTGGTATCTATCAGCCAAAGCAAGTAACGTTATATTACGCAAAGCATGTAAATCTAGACGGTCGGTACGTGTTTGAGGTTCACCACAATACTGGCCTACTATATGATGCACGAAGGCAGACTCGTCATCCTTATGTTACACGGTACTTTGTCTATATATTCATATTGACAATGACAATCCTGACCTTGATTTGATAGTAGGCTACTGTCATTATAAAAATAGTCTTTGAACCGTAGGGTGTTGTGCACGCGTAATGACGGTGATTTGATATATCTTTAGTAATGCTAGACACCGAGTATAGGTATTAAAACCATCCGGTGAAGTACCTTTGCAATGAGAGCTTTTTTACAACAATGAAGGTTTGAATAGTGAAAATAAACTATCATTAGACTACCTACGTGTAGTACTTAATATTATAAATGAGACTAAAGAAGAAATAAATTCCTAAGGATGATGCTCTTTTTTGTTCAAGAAATTGGCTTAATTTCGATGTAATTAATATAATGATAAAATTGTTTAAATTTTTTAATTTTACTTTGATTTGTTAAATTCTTTTATAAATACCTGTTGTAATTATGCTCTCGTTTTTTAATCTAATATCATCTCTCAGCATTTTATTATTCTTTTTCAATCACATCAGTCCTTAGTTCAATTATGGTCTATTTCAACTCAAATACACTTTCAATATTTTTCTTCCCACGGTTGTTGTAATGGTTTATTTATGAAAATAAGCTTCCGTAGTAGTCCTATGTAACGGCCAACTTTATGCCTTGAAAAATTTTTTTTGTAAAATTAACTTTTATGTTAGTTTGAATTTAAGTAAAATGACCTTTGCAGTTTATTTATTATCTCACATACCTGACTTGCTACAGTACTCCTTCGTAATCCTTTGAAGGGTCTTTATGATTTTTGAATGCTTCGCACGTTTTAAAAATTCCTCAGATCTTTATACAAACATCTCATTTCTGTTAAAAAAAAAGAAAAAAAATCAGTTACAGTTATACTTTACAAAAAAAATTTGCAAGCCTTTCGAGACGTTTTAACTGCAGTAAAATTTATTGTTGAAACAAGCTTATGACAGATAATGCAATAGACGTTAATTTATAGATGTAATTTTTCAGAACATCCGGTCTCCTTTGCGTTTTTCAGTGCATCCGGTTTACTTTTGGGCTTAGGTTGTAACGTTGAAATTATATTAATAAGGTATTTGAGCACCCTGATATTTTAGTGGGACGATGGGTTTTCAAGATCACGGTTGCCAAAAAAGGCAGCCTCCACGAGAATTTATTTAAATTAGGTATACAAATGGAACTGTTATATTTACAACATATATATTTTTTTATGTGAAAAAAACGGGACAAGTCTTTTCAAAGGACTGCAGAATTTTTGCAAGGTTTCCCTACAAAAATGTTACTGATATGAATCTTTTTGATTTATGCAGTTAATGTGACTCTCTTATAATCAAACGTCCCAGTAAATTTCATCTTTACAATTTGAATCATCCTTAAACAGCCATTATTCATAACAAATGATATTTATCTAACATCAAAATGATTTGAAAAAAACTTGATGTACAAAAATAACCTCTTTTTTGTTGTCACGATCAGAAGAAACTTATTGGTTGTCAACTTTAAGACGTAGAAACGAATTTGAAAGTGACAAGAACATGAAAATGAATATAAAAGTCAAATTCATCAATATTTGAAAAGTCGTAATTGTTTGTAGAAAATACTAGAACTTCTTCATGCTTTGTATTCTGACAAATAGTATAGTATGCTGAAAAATAAATAATTGGAATATAATATAAAGTTTTAAATTAAAAAAAGTAAAATTCAGTTAGATTTTCAGTGCAAAAAATATTTTTGAAAGTTTTGTAAGTAAACAAAAAAAGATTGTATACCTGAAAATCTAACAAGGGTAAGAATTTTCCTTCTATTGTTGAATCTCTGCATGCACATATTTCTCCCATTCTCTCTGTAACGTTTTCCATTCTTCGTGAAAATTTCTTTTCATTGCCAAGCTCAAATACAATGGACTGAATAAATTAGTTTGAACAGATTCAAACCAATCATCATTTTACAGCCAACAAATTCGTTGGCTACATTAGATTGTTGGAAGTCTTTAAGTGCAAAATTTTTATTAAAACTACCTGTATTCTCTGAGAAATACGGCATCATACTATGAAATGTTTATATACATTCACAGGAAGCAACGAAATATACCTTGAAAATATAAACCGATTATTCACGGAAGCAGACTGGCTGTGCTTAGGGCCAGCTATGGCCTTTCGTAGTTCTTTACATTCTAATATGCAGGTATTTCTTACGGATAAAGAATCTTTAATTTTTCGCACTTCATTCAGGCTAAACAAACGTTTTGAAAGACCCTAATGATTTACAATCGTTAAGAGAAAGTTTTATTGTTATATTTGGATAATACAACCTTCAAATTTTCAAGTTAACAACGATTGAATTGTTTTTAATATAAAATTACAAATAGGCACAAAGAAGATTTTCCTATTGTAAGCGTTATATTATTCGGGAAAGATCGGCAGTTGTCGGGGGCGCTCGTGAAGCAACAGTGGTGGGCACCCGAGTTACTAGTCTGGTGGTGAGGATCGGGAGGATAACGAAGTCAACGTTTAATCGTGCGTCGCTCGGCGGAGAAAGTGGTTGTGTGTGCAGAGAGTTGTTTCTACTTGCACATATGTTTCTATCTGCACTATCAAATCTCCGATCCGAGTCGTAGCAACACCGAGTAAATAAACACGGAAATAATATTTTTCGTTTCTACTCTAACGTACGCATCGTTTTAAATCAATCAAAACAATGTTCATTTTGGCATTGAAACGTCAACCGGCAATGTTGTGAAGTTGATTTAATTTTCTAAAGTAAAAGAAATAAAAGTAATATTGGAAAATAAAGTAGTGAAAGAAATAAATGTTTAAACGGGAAGTGTTGAGCGGAAATGAGTAACTGGAATTAGGGAAAATATTAGATCGGTTAAGTGTGTGTGTCATCGCAACTCCTTTTCGGAGCAATAAGAATAATTAATTGAGTGACAAACAAGTAAATACGAAAAGTGAATAATCATGACGGTGGACAGACTGTTTGAGACCACTAGTATTCCAGGGCATCTCGCTCCCACGCCGGAACGACTGGAGCGGCTTCTTTCAAAACAGAAACTCGAAGAACTCTACGAGGTTGAGGAGCAGCCTTTCGCACGGTAAGTTTTAGTCTCTTATTTGTATTAACCTTAATTTCCTCATGCTATTTAACATTTTAAAACCATCCCTGAATTACTCTATGTCTAGCAAAATAATAGACAATCCTTTGTTTGCCCATAAATTTAATTATGTCTACTTGTTAGCTTCCTTTAAAACATTTAATCTCTTCAAAGAATGAATATCATAACAAATTTGTTGGAATACCGTCGTTAAATCATTATGTATAAAATGGCGGGCACTCCTACAAATTAAAGACTCGTTTATCAGATGGCCCTATAAAAGAAAGTGCGACGGAAGATCGAGGTCAAAACGTTCACGTCGGTCTCTCTGACCTCGCCTTTTTTTCATCTATTCTTTCTCTTCTGTCTTTCGAATCATTCTAATGGTAACTATTATATTACAAGTACAAGTATATATCAACATTTGTTACCCGTCTTTTTGGTAAGAATAGCAACTGTAAAACAATAACCAATTGTTTCTCTCTCACTAATTTTTATATTTATACACTTTGTTCACCTGAAGAGATAAAGGTCATGGTTACAAAGCAACCATCTTCAATATTATCTAATCGCAGCATCGCCATGTTAATAAATATAACTCTTTATAAACCATAAAAGAATTGAGTCTTATTAAGTGGTATAATTATTTAACTTGATTTTTTGCATTCTTCACAACAATAACAGACAAAGGTTCTTAAATCTTATTATCTTGCGTAATATGACTCTTAAAACTTTGTTTAGAATTGGAGAAATAGTAGAAATATCTCTATTGTTTTGTGTCAGTTTGAACAGACGAATTTTTTTCTGTGATAACTAAATACTTTAATGCTCATATCGTTTGAGAGAATGACAATAAATTAAACAAACCGCAGTAAATTCTTGTTTTATTAAGAAATACCTCTGAGTGATTTACTTTGTTGATAACAAAAATTTATATCAACTGATTTTCAAGTAAAGGCTGGTACCACCTATGAGTGATGTTAACATAGAGGGATAGATTAATGGGTTTGGGAGTTTAAAGAGATTTCAAACGAGATCGTGCAATATTTCGATTGATCCATTACTTAGAGCATGTAATTAAAACAATAGCAGGAATCTAGAAGGTAATAGATCGCGAGATTTATTGATTTTACATAATACATTCTCACAGCCCTTCGTGAGCATAGAACAGTAGGTCAACCAAAGTCGACCCACCGCAGATTTAATCTATCATTTACATATTTAACAGTCGTGATCCATTGTTCAAGAATTCCTGGTCATGTTCGTTCGATTTCACATCGTTTAATTTTTTTTCACAGATATAATATAGTATTATATGTATTTTATGGAGTACATAAACTTTGTTCAACTGTTATAAATTATATGAACGGACGAATGACGTTGATCTTAAATAAATATTGTGGTTCGTTACCACTGGTCTTGTAAAACTTTGCTGGGAAATGAAAACAAATGGATTTATTTGATTAATTCAATTTTAGTTTACACTTTTTTTTTACGGAATTTTTTTCATTAAATTATGCAATTAATAATATTCATTAGAATCATACAAAATTTTTTAAATTATCATTCTTATAATTAATAAAGTTTTTTTTTTCTTTTGAGTAATAAGTTATTAAACATTAACAAGGAAGTACATAATAAAATTTAATAAATAATTTTATATATCTATTAAAAAATATAAATAGAGAATATTTAATAAATAGTTAAATTTTTTTTATTAATTATTATCTTAATGTTGAGTGGAATTTTTTTATTGTGAGAAAAGTCTTACAAGAATAGGAATAAAAGACAAATCTTCGCTCAGTAAAACTTCATATTTCCTCATTCAAACGTGGAATTTCTCTAAGAAAATGAATTAAACAGAAAGCTTTTATAAATAACTATTGGGATATCAGGCATTTTTTCATCATAAATAATAGTTTAAAATGAATATGAAATAAAAGATAGCATTTTTTTTTACATTCAATTTTTTATCAAACGGAACACTTTCCTATAGGATGTATGATGAAATAACAAAATATAAAAATAATAAAGTAATTTTTATTTCTTAAAATAACGATAATGAATTTTTTTTAATACCATTATACATTTAAAAAAAAAGTCTAAGTGTGTTATTGAAAAAAAAATTTTTAGGTTTAAAATTAACTGCTGTATATTTATATTCAAAAAACTTTCAACGAATATAAATAAAAAACACTTGACATTAGAAAAAGAAAAAAGTTAATGACCGTACGACCCTGTGCACTTTTTTTTTATATATATAGTAACCAAGCTCCGAAGAATAATAAGCACTAAGAAGAGATTTATAAATTTTCTGGTAATGCAATAGGAAATTGAGTGTAGTTATTGCAGTTGGTTTTGAGCGATTTCAAGAAGACGTGCGCAGATATTTTTTTCAATGAGGTAGTAGACCTCCTGTGGATCTTTATATCTTCAAAATGGCGCTTGCTATATAGATGAGCAATTTTTTATACATAATAGTTATATACTCGTACAGTCAGGTATGAAATTACAGTACACGAATGACGTGTCACAAATTTATATATAATTGGCTTAAATGCTAATTTAAAATTTTTCATTTAAATAAAAATTATGTATTCAATTGAATTAAAAAAAAAAAAAAAGACTTTTTATTGTGTTGTAATATAATTCTCTCACGATATTGAATTTTTAAAATAGTTTTATTATCAAGTTTTCATTGTTACGTACATAGTTAAGTTGAGAAGCAACTGAAACTAGTGGCGGAACAGTTCTGATACTTGTTAGCGATTAACAGATATTTCACGCTACGTGAATTAAATGCTAATTACGCATAAGTATGTAAAGATAAGTATTCTGATTGCGGATATTTTTATTGGAAAAAAATACTAAAAATATGCTGCTATTATGTGAGCTAAGAAATGAAGCAATAAAGCAATTGAGTATTCTTTACTAATTTTTTTTTATACACATATATTGTGTGAATAAATAGAAGAAATTCATTGTAGATACAATTTGTATATCTCATTAATGAGATATACCAATTGGGAACGCTTCTTAAATATTACCCGGAGGTTCCCTAGCATTCTTTGGAATTGAGTAACTAACTTTACAGAGCGTATATTATAGTCAACTCGAAAGGAATATAAGGGGAGCCTTCCAGCAATGGAGATACAAGCAGACACAAATAGACACGATCGAGTACATACTACGTTAGGATCTTGTTGGAATGCCTTGTAATTTACATTATAAGGAACTAGTGCCTTATTTATTTGTATTCCAGTAGACATTTTATTAATTTTTATATAACGATGCTTTTCGATTTCGATTGCATTTAAATTCATCCAACATGGTTGCTCGTTTTTTGTCGGCTTTTTAATTCTGTTGTGGCTAATTGGGTTGTTTATGGGGGAGTAATAAGGAGTTCTTTATGGATATTAGCTCAGGGATATTTAGCATAGACGGTTGATTTATATATGTTAAAAATATTTGTTTTATCCTGACTAACGAATATATATTTTTTTGTTTTTATTATTAAACATACATTATTATGAGATAGAAAATTTATTATAATTTTTTATTTAATTTTTTCGAATAACTTGACCTTTTATAAACTCCAAAAAATTCAATCTATTCTCATTTTGATTGATCATATCGATTGATTATTTATTTATTTAAAATTCAAAAATTATAATAAAAAAAATTAATTTTATAAAATTAGACATGGTTAACATTTTTTATGGTGAGACATTAAATAAATTGTTTTTAATCAAAATTCAGTTTTTATTAGACTCTTTAAAATATTTCTCAAGCTTTTTTTACATCAGTGGAGGGCTTTGTCTCCCAGGGAGTTAATGACAACAATAACAACTATAAAATAAATCTCACATTTTCGTGAATCCTTAAATAAAAACATCCACTTATTTATTAAAAATAACTCGAAAATTTCATAATTACTAACCCAACTTTTCCCAAAGATCCAGGTTACAAAAATTTTGATTATTCGTTGGAAAGAATTTTTTCCTAAAAGAAGAATATAATTTTATGACACTCCCAAAGATCCAAAGTTCAAAATAGTTGGGCCTTAAAGATAAATTACTAGATGTTTATAATTCACTGTTATATAGTTAGGTCTAATACTTGAGCTAAACATACTACTTTCCCAAGAATCTTATAATCAAAACAAAGTAGGCCCATTCACATTAAATTAATTTTATCAATTGATTGAAAGATATTGGATGCGTTACTACAGCTGATTTGGGTTAGTGACACGCCTAGCGGTCAATTTGACGCTTTAAAAAATAGCAGTGTGCTCCAAACGCTGATTTTTCAGAGTCATAATTATATTATTAATATTATTGTTATTAAAAGAAATCCATATAAAAAATATTATTATTATTATTAACAAAAGCATCATTATTGATGAAGAAAAAATTAATTGATTTTTTAATTAATCAAGTAAAAAGAAAGATATTAATACTGATCATTCGTACTATCGGTATTTTAATTAAAAATTGCATCGATAGTATAACATAATTACCAATGATGTAATTATTAATCCATCATCATGCTATTTTTCAATAATATAACCTGATCATCAACATATAGTGTTATACATCAATTTTCTTCTTTCACTAAGCTAATAATTATTTATAAACTCAGTCAATTACCTCAACATGATTTTTCGTATTGAAATTTAATAGCAATCTAACATGCAGTTGTCAGGCGTAATATTCATTTAAGCATAAAATAAATAATTGTATTATTCATGTCTTGCATATACCCTTATGTAACTTGGTGAAAATGGATTATGTCCGATTAAAGTTTACTTGAGCTATGAAAGCGTAGAGTACACGTACAACTCTAGAAAAATTATAGTAGAGTATATATATATTTTTTTTTCAACTGTAATGATGTTTAGATTAAGGAAATAAGTTAACTCAATGAAATAGCTGACTAAACTTGGACTAGCTGGTATGAAGGAAGAGTTATTACGTATTTGAAAGGCTTTGTTCCATCAA